CAATCTTTTTTTAAAAAAAAAAAAGGTATCATTGAGAACATGGAAATAGAACTCACAGAATGGGAAAGAATATTTGTATACCAGATTAAATATCTAGAATATATGAAACTATGTAAACAAAGACATAAAGAATATATAAGCAAAAACTAATAACCCAAGTAAGATGTCAGCAAAGGGTCTAAATGGATATTGCTCCCAAGGAACTATTGAAATGGTCAATATGTTAAGGGGAAAGGATGTTCTGAACAAGCTCTACAGATGCAGGGCTTGTGGGCTCCTCCCCCACAAACCCCAGCGCTGCAAACCCCAGCATCACCAAAGCCAGGCCTGCTGGGACCTGAGGGTGGAGATGAGCAGCGTTGTTGGATATAAAACCAGACGTGTGGGCTTTGGGGCGCTCTTGGCCTCTTGGCTCATCACTTGTCTCTTGGCTTTTTGCCAGCTCTAAATAGACCCATTATTGACCTTATTGTGTGTAAGTCCCTTTAAGCATTCAGGTGAGGACCCACAGTCAGCCAGTGCAACTCACACGGGGGCTGCCCTGTAACAAATAGGTGCACGGAAACACTCAGCGTTGTAACTTCAGGTGTTTGATTTAGAAATTCTATTCTTTGTCTTCTGCATTGTATACTCACGGTATTAAAGTTCCTTTTCATTAAAGTTTTATATGTTTTGTCTTGAGGTGGATGGCAGAACCTATTTAGAGCAGGCAGGTATGGGGGTTCCCTGGTGCCCCCCTCCCCTTGTCCTGTAACAGGGAGAGAAGCCAGACACACGAGGCTATGCAGCGAGTCCATTGAGGAGAAGCGTCCATCACGGGCATAGCCAGAGCCAGAGAGTGGACTCGTGGTTGCCAGAGACCAGGGGAGGACAGCAAGGAATGTTCTGCCAGTGGTTATATGCTTTTTGTTTTGGGTGATGAAATTGTTCTAAAATTAGATAGCAGTGGTGTTTGCACATCGTGTTGGAATATATTAAAAACCACTGAATTGTACACTCAAAAGGACAAATTTTATGGTACATAAATAATAGCTTGTGAAATAATAGAATATACATTGGTTTCTTTTCCTGTTCCTGGCCAGGGCTCTGACACCCTCTGGAGTCTCCTGAGTGATAGGAGTGTCTTTTTTGTTGTTGTTGTACAAGGTTTATTTATGCACAAGAACTGGGGTGCAGCCGAGAGGTACAGGGGTGGTGAGAGGCTTCACCAGAGACAGAGTGGGGAGCAGAACAGGCAGATCTACTGAAACCCCCTGCTGAGGGGAGCAGCGGGGAGACAGGAGAGGGCTGCTGCGCCCTGGGGGTCCCTCCCTGGCCGGGGATGGCCCTCGTGCTGTGGTGGCTGCAGACAGCGACACAGTGCTACAATTTAACCCGCTGAGCCACCGGGGAGGGCCCAAATTTGGAACTTTTAATTGTCAACTCCACCTTCCAGGGGAAATCTGGAAATCGAGTTAGTAAGTGATCATGTCTATGTGAGGAGTCCCCGCCTAGGAAAATTAACAAAACTATGGGGACTCCGGGAGCACCTGCGTGGGTGAGCACACGGTGGTGCCATGCAAGGGTGTGACGGCCATAGATAGGGAAAGTCCTGGTTCCAAAGAAGGGTGGAGCTGAGCAGTGAGAAAAAGCTTGGGAAAAGGACCTGGGAAATCTTGAGCACTGCAGAGATTCCCCAAGGTCCAGGAGGAAGGAGGAGGTGCACGAGGCGTGAAAAAGAAGCAGCATTTGCTTTGGAGACGTGGAAGGAGAACCTTGAACCAACGCGGGTGGGAGACCAGGGGAGGGCACCGCGGCAGCCTTTCCTTGCTGTTGACTTTGCTCCCTTCCTTCAGATGTGCCTGACCCCTCCGGCCCTGCCCGATGGGTCCCCACCAGAAGGTGCCTCAGACTTGCCGTGAGCTGTCAGGCCTCAGCTGCCCCGCTTTGGGCCATCCTGTTTGGTTGGGCATTTGCCCAAGACAGACGGGCATTTCTTGGGGAAACGATGCAGATATAGCCTTTCTCTTTTCTTCTCCCTTTTGTACACTAATTGTAGTCAGATGCCTTTCCATTAAAGGCCTCACACACTAGAGTATGTTTGTCTTTATGTAGCAGATGGCAGAACCCATTTATAGCAGGCAGATTTGGGGACCCCAGGGGTCCCCTCCTCCTGCCCACTGACACTGAGGGAGCAGAATGTTCGGGCAGCTTATAGAAGTGCCTTACCCTAAGCATCTCTTCCATCTGCTCATCAACACAGCTATATCCTTTATCGTGCCTTATTTATAACCAACCGCTTTATAGTTTTCCTGCGTTCTGTGAGCTATTCCAGCAAATTATCAAATGTGAGAAGGGGATCATGGGAAACTCTGATATCTAGGCCGTGGGTCAAAAGCTCAGGTGACAGCTTGGACTTGATTGGCACCTGCAGTGGGGACAGTCTAATGGGCCCAGGCCATCTTCTGGACGACTGTGACAGCGCTGAGGTGAATTGGATGACTCCCAGCCCATGTCACAGAGAATTGCTTGGTGTGGGAAAACTGAAAGCCACAAATCTGCTGCCAGAGTGTATGAGTGTGTTAGTGGATACATAGTGGACACATAGGCAAGACGACTGTCCCCTAGACGCACATAACAGAAAAATTAGAAGGTGAGGAGACCAGGGCATATGGGATTCCCTGTTCATTCTTCCTCATTCTTCACCTCTCCTTGTGTCAGCAGACTTTTCCAGATGAGCCTGAAGTTCTTCGAAGTGTTGAAGAGTCCTACCTACCCCACGAGTGGTGGGGGCACGGGTTCAAGGCTGGACCTAGGACAGATGGCTTGTGTCCCATGGTCAAGGCTCCCCACCAAGAGCACATAGAGGAGACCGGCCCCTTGTCCTGCCTAGCGCTGCCCTCTGCTGGCCACTCTGGAGATTGCAGTCAACACAGCCGCTTGTGGTATTGCAAAAACTGGTTCTGGTCAAAAGCATTCTTCAGTCTTCATCAGTGTATGCATAAATAAATCTTTTTTAAAAAATGAGAATTGGGGTACGGCCAGAGGTGTGTGTGGGTGATATGATTCACCAGAGACAGAGTGGGGATCTACTGAAATACATGGCTGAGGGGAGCAGTGGGCAGGTCAGGAGAGGTGTGCCACCCCATGTAGGTCAGCTCCTTGGCCAGAGATCTAACTTGTGCTGCAGTGGCCTGTAATGGCTGCAGATTTCTTCACGGTGCTTCGACTTTAACCACCAGGGAAGCCCTGTTGCAGGTCTCATATCTAATCTTTAACCCACTTGCTGATTATTTGTATGTATAGGGCTAGCAAGTGATCCAATTTTACCTTTTACAGGTGACTTTCCAATTTTCCCAGCCTTTTGTATTTCCATAGACATTTCAATTTTTTTTGTTCAAGTTCTTTGAAAAATAATGCTGGGGTTTTGATGGAGATTGCATTTAATTTATATGTAATTTTAGGCAGGATCGTCATTTTGATTAAACTGATTCTTCCTTCCCAGAGACACAGCCAGAGCCATGGACATATGTGAGGACGTGTACTCATGTTCTCTCCACTGTGGCTGGTGGTTTCTCCAGGAACTCTCCACCACGTGAGCTCTGGGGATTGTCCTTTCCCAGCAAATCCCCATATAAGCACACAGTTGGCTGTTTAAGCAGACTCTTAAGGGAAACCCTCTCAAAATGTAATAGCTTTTTCTTTTTTAAAGATTTATTTATTTATGCATACAAGTGCTAGGGTGAAGGCCAGAGGTGGTGGTGGTGGGGGGATGGGAGTGAAAGGATTCACCAGAAACAGAGCAGGGAGAAGAACAGGTGGATCTACTGAAATCCACTGCTGAGAGGAGCAGCGAGCAGGACAGGAGAGGTCTGCTGTGCCAGGTGGGTTAGTTCCCAGGGGGCTGGAGATCAAAATGCTGCCATGTGGTTGTCGATAGCTGACCAGAGCCATCTTTAACTTCTGGGCTGCCAGGGAAGCTCCTCTGCTGGATGTCTTTAAGAGACACCATCAGACAATTTTCCAATGTAATTGTATAGTTCATTCCCACCTGAAGTGTAAGAAAGGAGATTTACAACACTTGAAATTGACAGTCTAATTTTACACATTCTCTTTGCAATGCAGAGAAAATCTCCTTGTTTTAAATTTGTATTACTCTGATGATTAATGAGTTAGCACTTTTTCTGTATACACGTAGGTCACTTGGATGTCTTCCTTGTGAAATATAATATACGTTCACCTTTTACTAATTCTTAACTAAGTTGTTGTCTTTGTGTTTGACATTTGCAGGAGTTTTTTTCTCCTCAACTATCAATCCTTTGTCAGATATACATATTGCAAATACTTTAGCTTGTACGGTGCTTTTTTACCCTTTAGGGTGTAACCTGGATGGCAAGCACCAGTGCATTTCACTCTGTCCTGTGTCCAGCGCCCACACCATGCCTGGGACATAGATCTTCAACATGTGGTTGTCGAATGAATGGGCGCAGGAGAGTCAGTTTCTTCAGGTGGATCTGTGAATCCCTGTCCATATTATAGGATTCTTGAGACGTTCAGGATAAACAGGATCCGTTTACCGCAAAATCTGCTTTAGAGGTTTTCAGAAAGAATCAAGCTTTTAGCTATTAGAGAGGCGGAGCTGGTTTCTCCCCCAGGAACTTGCGGGAGAAGTTCCACGTGGGCGCCCCGCCCACAGAGGCCCCGCCCACAGCTGTCACTCCGCCGGAGGCGTGGCTGGGAGGCGGGGGCTATGGGGCGTGGTTAGAACCCGGAACGAGGAAATGGGTGGAGTTTTTGGTGCCACGGGCCAATGAGAAGGAAGAGCCCTGCGCCGGAGCCCGAGAGGCAGAAAGAGAGCAGGGGGCGGTGTCCTCTTTTTCATTGGGCGACCCGACGTCGTCAGGGAAACGTGGTGTCCCGGAGGTGGTGGGGCGGGGCCTATCTGGAGGCGGGGCTTCCGGGGACTGGCCGGCCGGACCTCGGCGCCACCGTCAGCTGACCCGCCGCCATCTTGTCCGCCATTTGCGAGCGGAACGGCGCGGCGCGAGCCGGATCAGGAGCTGTAGCGGGAGCGGGGCCTCCTGGCAGGTCGCCGCCGCCGCTGCCGCCGCCCGCAGACCCGCCACCGACCTGGCCTGGGAGCCTGCTGTACCGCGGCGGGCGACAGCGCAGCGCTCCCCGGGCTGCAGGCGCGGCCCTTGGGCCCCCGCACGGCGCCGGGCCGCGGGCCTCCTGGGGCTCCAGCCCGGCCGCAGCCGCCGCGATGGCCCTTAAGATGGTCAAGGGCAGCATCGACCGCATGTTCGACAAGAACTTGCAGGACCTGGTGCGCGGCATCCGCAACCACAAGGAGGACGAGGTGAACCCGGCGCGCCGCCGCCCGGGTCCGGTCTGGCCCGGATCCCCGACCCATGACCCGCCCCGTGAGCCCAGCCCCGGAGGCCCGGCCCCCGGCCTGAGCCCTGCCGGCCGCGGCCTGGGGCGTCGCACACTGCCTACCTCCCGAGCCTCAGTTTATGCCCAGTGGCCGACGGCGTCCGGGGTTCAGACCTCAAGGCCCAGAGCCGCGGCTCTCTGCCCCTCCCCCCGGCGTGGATCGGGTTGCTTGGGGGGGCCGCTATTAACAATGCAGCGTCCCGAGTCTGCCGCCGGTAGCCCCCCTCCTCAGTTTGTCCGCTTGGTTTTGGAGTCGCCTCCCCCACCCTGTGGGTGGTGCCAGAAGAGACTTCGCGGAACCCCTTCCCCAAAGGGCAACACAGTTGTTTGTGGATCATCTGTTACAAATGTGGGGTCCCAGACCCCGCTTCAGGCCGTTGAGTGGATTTCTGGGACCCTATGTCTCCCGCGAGAAATCCCCTGAATCCGCTAAGGGATAAGTGCGTCCGTGTTGCTCCCAGGTGTCTGGGCCACAAAGGACCTTCCTACTGGCCTTACGTTCAGAAAAGAAGGGACGCCCCCCTTATGGAAGGGTGGAGGAAGAAGATTGGGGAGGCGGGTCCTGGAACTCGCTAGAAATGCTTAGCTAGGGAAGGGTGTTCCGGAAGTAAAACAAATAGTGGACACCGTTGTTTTCCCGCCCCCAACATGTGATTAAGAGTTAGAATGGGGGGATTTAGTGGGCTCCGGTCGCTGGCTTCTTGCACACACTTGCACAAAGGAAGCAGAGTACCTAGTCACCTGCAGGAGAGCACCTGTGTACTCAGCTGGTCCTGAGCAGGTGCTCCCACCCTAGCAGCAGTGCAGGTGAGTCAGCCCAGAACCCAGGCTCCTTCAGCCACGACCCCCTAAGGGAACCTGAGTTCTTGCCACTGGGTTGCATTTGTTCAGAATGGGCCTGACCTTGCTGAAATGTAATTAGGTTATTTTTGTTCGTTTCCATCACCCTCCCTTCTCTGGCTACACCTCATTTTTCTTCTAGCAGGCGGGCTTGGTTATAATGTGTCGTGAACTCCAGTCCAGATCTTCAGTGTTTTGAGCTGAAAGAGTGTCTGGTTAGCCCAGATTTAGATTTTATCGCTGGGTTTGGATTTAATTTACACGGCTAAGCAATTTTGAAATATGCTTACACCCCCAATTTCTTCTGATTTCCCCTCCATTTCATGGATATCACTGAGCACTGGCTTTGGGTTCTGTGGCTGGACCACTCAATGGAGAAGCCCCAGTTTGAATGCCTGTTTTTAGGGCGCATCCCTGGGCAGTCCCATTGATCTTGGGTTTCTTCATCAGGGGATGCCTTCCTCATGGGCTTGGGGCCCTTAAGTGGGTACACTGGAGGTGAGAGAGGCCTCCAGTGTCTCAGGTTTCCTCCAGGCAACTCCAAGTTGGTCAACGTCTGCATCGGAAAGTGGAAAGCGGAAGCCAGGGAAAGGTGTCACCTCTACCCGGAGAGGGTCTCCTTGTGGGAGGATAGCTGGATCACTCGCTGGTCCCCACTCTGAAATACGACTTCTGTCCTGCCGTCCCCCGCCCCAGCAGAGACAGCGGATGACATGTTTTTCTGCGCAATCTGCACACGCTGCTGTGGAGCAGCCCGCACCCCAAGTTTACTTTTTATAATAAATTTAAGTTTGAAACTTCGGTGCAGCCACTTGGAAGTGAGATCGAGCACTTACATTGTTTATTTTTTTTTACAGTATTTGATTTCTCCCCAGGTGTAGTCCCCATAGTTCTCCCATCACAGACGTGCAATCTGCTTCCCTCCCTGTTTCGACTCCCTCCCTCCCCCTCCTGTGCTGGACGCCTGAGGTCCATGGTCAGCTGGCCAGTTTTGTCTCTGCTGACCCGTACACAGTCCCTTATATGCCTGCTGTAGTGAAACCAGTCGCTGTTCTCTTTCCTTCACTCTGCTTAGCATCACCCCTCCAGCTCGTTTAAGTGGCTGCAAGTGGCTCGTGTTTCTCTTTAGACCTGCGGCCAGGCCAGTATTCCGTCGTGCCGTAGACCACATCTTGACCAGCCACCTGTCCTGGGGCATTGGGCTGCTTCTGTGCTTGGCTGTTGTAAGTGGTGCTTTAATAAACACGGGAGTGAGATTTCCTTTCGAATTAGTGTGTTTGTGGCCTTTGGGTAGTTTCCCGGCGTGGACTCAGTGGATCATAGGGTCGCTCTGTGTTGGGTGTCCGAGGAACCCCGCGCAGCTTCCCACGGTGGCTGGACCCTCCGCATTCCCGTCACCAGTGTGAGCACATCCTTGCCAGCATTCGTTGTTGCCAGGCTCTTAAAATGTGGGCCATTCTCATGGTGTGAGGTGGGTCTCCTCTGGCTTTAATTTGCATTTCCCTGGGAATAAGTGAATGTGAACATTTCTTCCAATAGCAATGACTTGAAGCAGGGGGAAAGACAGCACAATATGGTGAAGCCACGTGTGAGGACTAGAGACCTTAGTCCAAGACTTCGGTGCTTCAGAGCGCAGGGGTGCGGGCGCCTCGATGTCTGCCTTGTCCTTTCCCAACTGCTGCCTGTGACCCCTTAGTCGCTTGTGTATTCAGTTTCGTGCGTGCAGGTCACCACCTGTCTTTCTTGAAACTTCTGTCTTGTCTGGTTAATGTGGAGAGTATGTTCCTTAAAATGGGTCAAGTTTGAGAGTGGCCTAAGGATTCGGGAATGTCTGTTAACCCTTAAGATACGCGAGTATGATGGTGGCAGCTGGGGGAACACTTGGGAATGGCCTTGCTTGCAAAGCTCAGAGATGATGGGAAAGTCAAGTGACTTTCAACATCTTCTCATAGACAGTGCATATCTTGAGGAATATGTTTTCTCCTAGTCTTGTTATTTATTTACTTTTAAAGTTCTATTTATGCATATAGAACTGGGGTACAGGCCAGAGGTGCAGGAGTTGAGAGATCACCAGAGACAGAGTGGTAGCAGAATAGGCCGACTGACGAAGTGCACTGCTGAGGGGAGAAGTGGGGAGACAGGAGAGGTCTGCCGCACCCTGTGGGTCGCTCCCGGGCTGGAGATGGAACTCGTGCTGCAGGGGCTGCAGCTTTCTTGCAGGGCTGCGCTTTAAACCCCTTGTGCCACCAGGGAGGGCCCACTCGCGTAGCCTTTTTAAATCATGATTGTACCCATCACTTTGTGACATTACGATTTACTGGGTGAAAGGGGAAAGGCCACTCTGTACCTCAGCTGGCTTCCGCCGCTCGGGGGGCCTGGGACTCTGTGCGCCCTCACCTGTGGCCCACCCGGCTGCTGTCAGCGACACAGTGCTGCAGGGTTTTACAGCCTCCCGTGGCGGTTAATTTAGCCACTCTCCTCCCCTGTCCATGTAAGTGGCTTCTGGTGTTTTGCTGTTTGGTGCCTCAGTTTACTCTGTTGGGCCCAAGCGCTCAACAGATCTGTTCTCGGAAACAGTGCTGTTGGAGAGACATCCTGTCAGCGCCTGCCTGGTGCTGTGTGTCAGTGACAGGGCTTCTCGCCTTGCTTTTTACTCAATTCTCACCTTGCTCCTGCAAACTGCCCCCGCTGCCACCTCCCCCTTGTGCTTCCGAGCTGCTGCGGTCCCTCCGGACCCTTGGTAGCACCCTGCTTTGCCCTCAGCCTCAAGGGCATAATGGGAACCCTAACCCATCGCCTTCCCCTGGCCAGTCTCACGCCTCCTTCTCCCTTTTTGGGAGCGCTTCCCAACAACACCCGGCTGTGTTAAGCCCATTCTGTCTTGGGGGGGTGCTGGATCAGGCTGCTGGCCTGTCCACATACCTCCACCTCCAAAGCCCAGAGGGCACCAGGGTTTCCTGAGGACATGCCTACTTCTGATCCCTGGGGCTGCGCCACCTGCTATTCAGGGCCCTAGTGGGCCGCTCATTCTTGACCCCAGCGGCCCTCTAGGTTGGCACCTGCGCTCTGAAGATGACAGGCCTCCTTCCTCGCCCCTGGTCGTTCTGTTGTGAGCTGGGAAGGCATGGCCTCTACCTTCCAGTTGTGTTTCCCTGAGGTCCAGGGCGACCTGACTGGCCACAGAATAATGGCCCCCAGGGATGACCCCACCCCAGTCCTGGGACCTGGGGACATGGCGCCTCTCATGGTCAAGCTGTGCACACACCAGGTAAAAAGGCACAGGATAAAGGTGTACAGAGGGGCCCGGAGGATCCTAGATGTCCTGGTCCTCACGAGGGAGGAGGAGGTTGTTTGGGGTCAACCGTGAGGACGGAGGGAGGCCTGAGTCCAGGATGCGGCACCTGGAGAAGCTGGAACCAGTGGGAGACGGGTGTCCCTGACCTAGAGGAGCAACCTGCCCGAGCCTGGTTTTGCCCAGCGAGACAGTGTGGCCGCGGGGCCTCCAGGTTTCCGAGAATATTCACGTTAAGCCAGCAAGTGCAGGAGACGCCCGGTTTCCGACTGCTGCCTCTGAGTCTCGCCGTCCCACAGCCGCCTCTGCCACCCAGACGCGCACGGCCCTGGGTCCCGCACCGCCTGCACCTGTGCTGGAAAAGTCCACCCTGTAGACCGGCTGCTGCCGGGAGACACAGGGCCTGCCTTGGCCAGCCCTCAGCACACGGGGGCGGGGCTTCAGGTGAAGTCCGCCCTGGCCCCCACTGCGGCCTCCACTGCCTTTGCACACCCCCAAACTAATCCTTCCCCCTCGTGGGTTTTTTTTTCCTGGTTTCACCAAGTGCGTAGAAATCATTTGGGGATCCTTCACCTTGTTCCCCTCCAAACCTGTAGGTACATGTCCCTCCACAAGTTCATGGTGCTAGATCAGTGGGTCTTACCTGGGGTATTCCTGGCATGAAGTACCCCAGGCACCATGGGCAGCGGGCCCCAGTGGACCCTCCCCTCGTCCCCAGCCCTGTTGTGCCCTTATTGGCAGAGGGCAGGCGGGTGCCTCCTGCTGCATTGCTCATCTCGGGTAGTGGCTGGGCTCTTGGGCAGTATTGCCGTGCCATGGCACCTTGACATCTGGCCAGCTCACTCTGAGGGCTGTCCTGGGTGTCCAGGGTGCAGAGCAGTATTTCTGGCTCACTCACTTGTGCCAGGCTCGTTCCCACTCATCACCGGTACAGAGGCCACCTGTGTCCCTGGGGCCGGATCTTTCCCAGGTGAGAAAACCTCTGGTCTTTACTGATGAGATCTCCCAGAATTCTTTAACATTTTGCCCTACATCCAGGCACTCCCTGGCACCCACATTGCCACAGTGTTAGTGGACTCCATGATGCTGTGATTTAGTAAGATTTGCTTTGGGTTTTACTCCCAGTACCTGAGCAGAGACCTTAAACCTTTGTAGTTTCCCCAGTGATGAAGGTGCTAGAAGCATCTTGTATTGATATATTTGTTCTCTGCCCTGGTTCCTGGCACAGGGCTCCTAAATCCTTTGGACTTCCCCTGGTGACAAGAGTCATTTGTCATAGTGAGATGACTCCTGGAAGGGGCTAGTCAGTGGGAAAACTGAGCCCTGCTGAAATGCCTACAGCTCTAGGCCATTCTCAGGGAAGGGGCTGGTGACTGAGTTACCCATCAGTTGTGTCCCCATGATGAGACCTCTATGCAAATCCACTAAACCAGGCCCCCCTGGTGGCACAGAAGTTAAAGTCTCAGCACTATGAAGCACTTAGCCTGAGTTCGATCCCCAGCCAGGAAGTGATCCCAGGGTGCAGCAGACCTCTCCTGTCTCCCCGCTGCTCCCCACAGCAGTGTATTTCAGCCTGATCTGCTCCCCATTGTCCTCTCACCGCCCCCCCCCCCGCACCTCTGGCCTGTACCCCAGTTCAGTATGCATTAAAAAAAAAAAAAGCCTAAACCACTGGACTTGGAGAGATTCAGGGCTGGTGAAGGCATCCACATATCCAGACGGAGACACCCCAACTCCAGCTCTGCGGGGACAAGCGCTCCCCCGCTCAGGACCCTGTGTTCCCCTTCATCTGCCATCTCTCTGTTTCTCAGGGCACCCTTTCTCATATGTAAATTGGTAAAGCTGAATGAGTGTTTCCTGGAATCTGGGGGGGCTGTGGGAACCCCCATTTATAGTGTGTTGGAAGCACTGGGGCAACCTGAACTTCCAGTAGCATCTGAAGTAGAGACAGTCTGGACGGGATGCTAAGCCTGGGGCCGCAGTTGCTCCAGGCAGAGCACCCAGATTGTGTGGGAGAGGAACGGAAACGGTTTTTCCTAGAAGGAGCCAGAGGGCACCTGTCCCGAGCGGGCTTCTGTTCTGGTCCTTGTTGCTTGTGAACCGCCTTCGGGGCCAGTGGGAAGGACCATGGTCCCTGGGCAGAGGTGGAGGGGGTGAGCGGGTGGAGCACAGGGTTTTTAGGGCAGTTGAAACTGCTCTGTGACAGGAATGTCTGTTTCTGGGGTTGAAATAGGCTGCTGGGTTGTAGTCTCGAGGGGTCACAGACGAAAAGTGTTTGTCTCTGCTCCAAATTAAAGCTTAACAATGAAAAAGGTGCTGAATTTTAGTACTTGCTTCCTCTGTGGTGAAGTAGAAATTCGTATGGAGCAGGCTGAGTTATTTAAGAGATTTAGTCATGCTGACGCCTTTAGTTTCTTTTTTTACAAAGTGCTAGTGACTTGTAGCCATGAATACTTCATCCCTTAAAGTATTTCTCATCAATATTCTTACTGTAATTTTCTCAACCCACATCATGCCTGTATACCCGGACCGAATTTTCCTTGTAAAAGTACAGAGGGACTTTTGGTTAGTCGAGAGTCATCGACTCGCTCCCTACACTCCTTACTGCAGCTGTATGTCACTGTCTTGGATCAGTACAGCTCTCCCAGGTGAGCATGAGGCACTTCAGCTTTTACCCGTCCGCCCTTTCAGCCTGCGCTGCGCCCGGTCTCAGGCCGTTCAGCACGGTGGCTCCATCGCCCGGCCAGCTCGGACTGGGCTTCGTCCGCTGTCTTTCCCTTGAGCATAGACTGCAATTTCCCGTTGCTTTGATTGGTGTTTTGATCATCTTCTGGACATTGCAGATGGTACTTTGTAGGGATTCTGGATTTGCAGCAGTCGGAAGAGCTGTGGTTTTGGCTAACAGCTGGCTTGGGGCCATGAGCTTGACTGGGCTGATGCCCCAGCTCTGCTACTCACTTGTCTGTGGAGGCTGAAGCCCGTTTCTTCCCTTTGGCGCTAGGGGGTCTGCATGGCCTGTGCTGCACGTGCACAGCTCTAGGGTCGGCCTCAGATCTTAGCAGGGTTTATATGCTGATGGAGTCACCCCAAACTTCGTCCTCAGTTTTGCCTGGTACTCAAGAGAAAAGACAAAAAGCCAGAGCCCCCCCTGGAGCTCCCACAAGCCTCCCTCGGCCCTGCAGCTGCCTTTAAATGACATGCTAGGAGACCTGAGGGGTAAAGACTCGGACATCATGGAACGTGGGTTTTGCTGCTCCTGATCCTTCCTGAAAGCTGAGGGCGTCCTAGGCCCAGAAGGCTGATGAACAGCCGCTCGTGCCTGCGCCTGGGCCATTGGGATCGGGCTGCAGTGTGTATTCAGGTTTTTATTTGAGCCCTGTGTTCAGTGTCTGGGGGGTACACGCAGGAGTACACGCTGTGCTTCACCATTGAGGGGCTGTCAGATCACCTTCCACAGTTTACATCCCACCCTCCGGCCAAGGCCCGTCTCTCATCACTTATGGTAGTCTCCAGTTCTTTCCCTTTTAAATCATTGATAGCCATGAGCCAGGCTGCAGGAAGGGCCATGTGGGCACAGGGCCCAGAATTGGGGTTGCCTGGGCAGGGTACAGTAATCGGAAGCCTGTTAGACAGATGCTCGTTCCCCTGAACCAGCCCTTGGTCATGAAACGGCCATAAAACGTCATGTGGCTGGGAGCTCGCCCAGGGCTCTGCCTTGTCTGTGCTGGGCAGGCTGCGTCTGGTGGCCGTGCTGGCTGCTGGGGCTGTGGGACCACAGTTGAGCCGGGCTCAGGGCCAGTCCTGCAGCAGTGTGGCAGGGTCTGCTGCGAGCTTGTTCTCCTGGCCTCCCTGGCCCAGGCAGGTGAGTGGGCAGGCCGCTGAGTCCTGCCTCCAGGTGGCCAGCTGAACCATCTAGCGGTCGCTGCTGTTGCTTAGACAGCAGGAGACTCCTCAAGCCTCTAGGCACTGGGTGGACCTGCTCTGAGGCCTATGGGGACCATTTACCTGGGCAGGCTGGTTGTCTCTGGGGCTGCTGTGTGACATCGGGGTGTCTCCCAGGGGTGACAGGAGCCTTTCCTACAGTCTGATCTGCCTAGGTTTTGTGGGTCTCAAGATTCTTCCCAAGTGACCCAGTTCCAAAGTGGCCTGGCCAGACCCCCCTTGCCACGGCATTTTTGCCTTTAGCCCCTGCTGGTCTGGCAGTCTGAGCCTTCCCGTCACCAGAGGGCCCGTAGGGGAGATGCAGCTGGCAGTGGCTTGCGTGGGCAATAGCAGATGTAGCAGCTTTCTGGCTCCCTGTGTTTCAACCCCTGAGATAGCACCTGTGAGGGTCAGCTGTGTGTGTCGTGTGCTGCAACAAGAGCCTGGTACACGGGGAGCTAACCCCTGGTTGCCTGTCACCCCCAGTGGGCCCCATTTGTCCTGTGGCAGGCCCTAGGATCATGGGGGCTGACTGGAACCCAGTAACAAGCACCCAGGGAGGGTGGGAAATGGCCTCACTGCCTGGGTGACGAAGTTCCTGGGGAGGAGGAGCCCTTCCTCTTCCAGAAGGCCCATGGTGACCATGCTGGTCGGGGTCTGTGCGCTGAAGCAGCACAGGGTGAACCATTACCCTGTTCCCACACAGGATATGGCTCAGTGCTGGGGACAGCCCGCTGGGCATCAGGCGTGGGACTCTTCCCAGCTTTAGCATTACAGCTGAACTAAGAATATTTCCAGACGTAGCTATTCTGGATTGAAATGCTTCTTAAAACTTTGCCGTTATAAGGCCTCCCTGGGGGTGCAGGGGTTAAGTCCTCAGCACTGTCAGGCTGTTGCCAGTTGCTGCGGCCTAAGTTCCATCCCCAGCCAGGGAGGGACCCCCAGGGTGCAGCAGACCTCTCCTGTCTCGCCTGCCCCTCCTCTCAGCAGTGGATTTCAGTAGATCTGCCTGTTCTTCCCCCCTCTGTCTCCTCCGAGTCCTTTACACCCCCCCCCCCCGCTGGCCTATATTCCAGTTCTTGCATGCATAAATAAATAAATATTTAAAAAAACTTCTTCAGTTATAGATGATGTCAGATAAAACACACATGTAGAGGAACAGTAAAAAACTTGTTGTATCTGTTTTAGCACAGCCGCCTGCAGGCCCAGGAGTAGCCTCAGGGAGATGCTGGCAGCTGGGTTTGCATGTGCTGAGATGGCCTTACTGGCTGTAATTTGTATGCCACACAACTTATTTAAAAATGCACAATTCAGGGCCTCCGTGGTGGCACAGTGGATTAAAGCACAGCAATAAGAAGCTGTCTGCAGCCACTGTAGCACCAAGTTCGATCCCCAGCCAGGGAGCTGACCCACAGAGCACAGCAGACCTCTCCTGACCCACCTGCTGCTCCCCTCAGCAGTGTGCTTCGTCAGTCTGCCTGTTCTGCTCCCCTCACCCCTCCTGTACCTCTGGCCTGTACCCCACTTCCTGTATGCATAAATAAATAAATCTTTAAAAAATAAATGAAGTGCATGACTTAATGGTTTTCAACAGCTGCCACGCAGCAGTCACCCTTAGGCCAGCCCCAGCCCACCGCCTGCCTCTGATAAGCCTGTTCTAGGTATTCGCCTCGGTGGGATCACGCGTGGTGTGACCTTTTGTGCTTGGCTTACGTCTGAAGTGAGGGTTCCTGTTTTTGACAGACAGTTGAATTTCTGACCTTTTTTTTCTTTTAGGCAAAATATATCTCTCAGTGCATTGATGAAATCAAGCAAGAACTGAAGCAAGACAACATCGCAGTGAAAGCCAACGCTGTGTGCAAGCTGACCTATGTGAGTAGCACGCAGGCACGGCACTCGGGGGAGTCTGTCTCTTCCTTCGCCCTAATGCTGGCAGCCAGCTGGCCATTCCTTCATTTTCACCCTTCCCTCCGTCCACCTTCTCCATCCATCCTTGTATCTGCTCATCCACCAGCCAGCCATCCGTCTGTCTCCATCCCTTCATCCTTCTGTCTACCCATCAGTCAAACATTGGTGCCATCTCCCCAGGTGCTGGCTGGGTGGACACGGGGCACAGGGGCTCAGGGCACTCAGAAGTTCTGTCAGAAGGACTGTCAGAAGGTCCACTTCCTGTGGTGTCCATGCTCCTATCAGACGGAGCCTGCTACAGATGTTCTTTAAAGACAACTGCCTCAGAGGCATGGGAGCCGCTGGGAGCACTGCAGTCAGTCAAGAGGGAGGTGTGCCGTGATGACCACCTGGTCCAGGCAGCGCCCCACGGCGAGTGACAAATGCCATGCCTTTCAACAGTTACAAATGCTAGGCTACGACATCAGCTGGGCCGCCTTCAACATCATCGAAGTGATGAGCGCTTCCAAATTCACGTTCAAGGTGAGACACAGTGGGGCGGGAGAGGGGGGTCTTGTGGTGGAGTGGGGGACCCCTAAAGGCCAGGAGCCACAGCCTGTTGGGGGTGGCATGCCTGCCGTGTTCTGACCGTGCGCAGGTCCTACCCGCCAGCTCCCAGCGTGGGCTGAGGTCAGTCAATTTCAGATGGGACGTAGTGCAGGTCTAATTGTTTTAAAATTTTTCCTTTTTTAAAACTTCTTAAAAATTATTTTGAAAAGTGAGGGAAATGTGGGAGTTATAAAGTAGAGTGAGGGCCCTCCCTGGTGGCACAACGGGTCAGGACACAGCGCAGCAGCTGGCCGCAGCTGCGCCTCTGGCCTGTACTGCGGCATAGTGGGTGGGGCGCTGGTGGGACCCGACAGCCCTGTCATTCAGGATTCGGTGGCAACTTTGCTTCCAATTCCTTCATCTTTTTTTAATGTCACACGTGTGTCGTATTGCCAGGCCTGTGGTTTGGTCCTGCGTGACCTGGGGGAGGGCCTCTGCTCACGGGCCCCACCTCACCACCGACGCCTCCCTCTGTTCGGCTCCACAGCGCATCGGCTACCTCGCTGCTTCCCAGTGTTTTCACGAGGGCACTGACGTCATCATGCTGACCACAAACCAGATCCGCAAGGTCGGTGTCCTCCGTCGGCTGAGCACCCTGCCCGGGCCGGAGGGCCTGTCCTCTGTGCCAGCGTCTGTCAGTCGCGTGTGGGAGCTAGCTGTCCCTGAGGCCCGCAGCCAGCAGGGATCAGGTCCACCAAGGGGGCGTCTGGGAAACACCATCCAGCTCCCGATCTCGCGTCCACTCGCTTCTCAGGTGGAGGACCCGCTTTGCCCGTCTCTCCCAGCTGGCGGAGATCGTGCCAGACGATGCGCTGTCTGGGCGGGGGCTCTGCCCCTGTTCGCCACATGTGTTTCTTCATGTTTCAAATGGTTTTTGGTGGCCACTGGTAGAAGGTTCCTCACTGGCCCAGAGCTTTGGGTGTCTTTTTCTACCTTGTTTCACAGTTGTGGGGCAGAGCTGGAGACCCCCCCCCCAGGTCTCCTGACCATACTTAGGGTTTGATGACCCCAGGACTCCCAGGTGGCCTGGAGGGGGCCAAAGCCCCATGAGTGGGTGCCCCGAGGGGTCAGCTGGTAGCTGCTCTGGGCTCCTGGGCCAAACTCCATGAAGCAGGCAGACTGCGGGCACTGGCCGGTGTGTGGGTCTGAGCCTGCCACACTCGGGTCTCTGGGGAGACTGAGTCACGGCTGAGCTTGTGGAGGCTCCACCTCAGCCAGGTCGTGCAGCAGCCCCGTGCTAAAGATGCCACAAGGTTCCCCGCTTTGAGGGGGCACTTAGTTGGGACTGGCTGGTGGGGTGTCCAGTGGGAATGAACCTCAGAGAGGAAGGAGAAGGAGGAGAGTGGGCGAGAGCTCTGAGTGGCAGGAAAGAGCGTGGAGGCCCTGGCTGCGTGGGGAGCTGACAGGCGCCAGTCCTCCTTGGCGTCCTCTCCCGGTGAGATCTGCGCGAGCGGCTCACTTAGCCTCGCTCCGTCGGGGAGCTGCCTGCCCTGACATGCCGGTTAGGTGTCGCATTGAGGTCTAGACAGGTGACTGGGACACCTTGGCCACAACCGGCTGCCTCTAGCACGCTGCTTCGTTCGTTTCAACAAGCCGTGACACTGAAACAGCGCGGCGCAGGTCCTGGTAGGGCCCTCGCTGCATAAGCACCGCCCGAATATCCTCACAGACGCGGCCTGGGCTGCGGCCGCCTCTTAAAGCCAGCGTCTCGTTGCTGCCACAGTCCAGGAAGTTGGCTCCCGCTCATGCTTTACTGTAGAACATATGTGGAGCTTGGGAGACTTCTGGAAGTCCCCAGAATAAGGCGGTGACACACAGAGTGTTAAACAGGGCTGTGGGGCCTCCCTAGTGGTGCAGTAAAGTGTCAGTGCTGTCAAGCTCTCGCTAGCCTGAGTTGGCCTGAGTTGGATCCCCAGCCAGGGAGCGACCCCCCAGGGCGCAGCAGCCTCTCCTGTCTCCCTGCTGCTCCCCTCAGCAGTGGGTTTCAGTGGATCCGTCTGTTCTGCTCCCCACTCTGTCTCTGGTGAATCCTCTCACCCCCACACCTCTGGCTTGTCCCCCTGGCTTGTATGCAAAAATAAATAAAATAAATCTTTAAAAATAATAATAAAGTGAAACAGGGCTAGGCAGCTACAGTGCGAATTGCCAAAGTGGGGTCACAGGTGGATGACCTCAGAGGTTGGGGTGTGTGGATTCTGCTTGCTCACAGATACTGTTTGCTTGAAAGATGAGATACAAGCTGATGCTTTTTTCCACTTTGGGGAGGGTCCTGGTGGAGTTGTCCCCACCAGGGGTAACACCTGCATAAGCACCGCCCGAATATCCTCACAGGGGAAACACCTGCGGGAAGCAGAGGTTCCCAGATTCCACTTTGGGGGACTTCCCCACATGTGCCCATTGGATGGGGTTCTCAAGCAGGGCGCTGCGGCCAGAGCTGGGGACTGGTGCTCTTAACCCCGCTAGGACCAGGCTGTGCCGCAGGGTCCCCCGGTGGCAGCAAGGCACTGGCCACGTGTTACTCATCACCCAAGTCCAGTTCCAGGCCTCAGCACAGGGCCAGTGGGGACATGCGAGGGCCGGGTGACGCTGAGACAGTGCACCCCACCCTGCGCCCCGCTAACCCTCTCATCCCTTTCCAGGACCTGAGCAGCCCCAGCCAGTACGACACCGGCGTTGCACTGACTGGCCTGTCCTGTTTTGTTACCCCAGATCTAGCCAGGGACTTGGCCAACGACATCATGACACTGGTGAGTTGGAGAGTGTGCCAGCACCCATGGCCTCTGCTCTCTGACATGATTTGGACCAGACAGGTGTTTGGAAAGCAGGACTAAAGCATCACACCAAGGACATTTGGCCCAGAGAAGCAGACCAGGGTCCCAGATCAGATGCAAAACCAAATCCCTGTCTCCTCCTGCATCACCTGTGGGACCTGGCCTGGGCCACTGTCAGACTCCACCTTTGAGCCAGTCTCGCAGGGGTTAGACCTGGATGAGGTGTTGGCAGGCGGTCACAGCTTGCTGAGGTGCAGGTGAAAGGGGCTGCCCTTTCCCATCCCTGGTGCCGTTAGTTTTCACGTGGCCTCGGCTTAGCTCCTGGCTAAGTCTGTATGAAAGGCAAATCCCCTGTTCTGGTCTCAAAGGTGTCCGGATCTTGTTCCAGAACAAGCCATCCTCTTGCAAACTGTGGCCTACGGCCATCTGTTGCCAGCCTCCGGCTGACTGGACCTTCTCCCCCACCATTGGGATGGTGCGGCCCAGTCAGCTTCCAGGGCAGGGCCGCGGCTGCCCTTGCGAATGGCTTTATCAGCGCAGCTGCCGCACGCTCACGTGCTATCGGGGGCTTCCGGGCGGAAGGGCAGGGCTGAGTGGTCAGACAGTGTTGGACCTGCGCGGCCGCAATCCGGCCGGGGGCACTTTCTGAGCAGTGCTATGGCCCCGGGGAAAGCGTTGAGTTGCTCAGGGGTGCGCCGGCCCCAGGTCCCAGGGGTAGGGTGGCCTTCTCAGCACAGCTCCCCAGGCCCTGACAGGTAAGGAGTTCGCCCACCTGGGCCGAGAGGCATTCCTGGCCAGAGTGTAGTCCGGGGCAGGGCAGGAACGGCAGCCCCACGTGGAAATGTGCGGGTCCCAGACCCTCAGAGCCCTGCTCTGGGAGTGGGCCGCGGGCTGGAGAGCCCGAACCCAGTGTTGGTGTGTGGGGCCCTTCTTTCCACGTGGCCCTCTCTGGGGCCCAGGTGAGCTCTGGAGAAGGGTCAGCCTTTGTAGCAGCCCCAGGCCACGTTTGGCCCAGCTGCCCGCCTGGGCCTTTGTTCAGTGGGGCTCAAAGGCTGGAAGCCAGACGAATTGGAGAGGGGGTTCCTCCAGGTGGGGGAGGTGAGGGCGGCACAGAGGCAGCAGGGAACTGTCGCCTCTACTGCAGATGTCCCACACCAAGCCGTACATCCGGAAGAAGGCCGTGCTGATCATGTACAAGGTCTTCCTGAAGTACCCCGAATCGCTGCGCCCTGCCTTCCCCCGCCTGAAGGAGAAGCTAGAGGACCCCGACCCCGGTTTGTTAACTAGAGTTTGATGGGGCGTCCCCAGCACGTCTCCGGGGAGTTGACGGAGGTGCTGTCAGGAGGGAGTGGAGGGACGCTCGGTCCCAGATGGCCCCGGACCTGGCCGTTGGCCCCCTCAGCGCTCCCTGCGCAGCCTGACAGCCTGTGCTTGAGCGCCCAAGACTGGCCCCACAGCTGCAGGTTCCCCTGCCGTCCCCGCCTGGCCCAAAAACCGCCCTCCCCCTGGGCAGTGGTGCCAAGAAGCCAAGACCTGGGCACCTTGAGGCCCACAGGTGCTGGGGTGCTGATTCTCTGGCTGGCTGTGTCAGCGTCACGTGCCGCACCTCGCTCGGCCGTGCCGCGGGCTTTTTCGGCCCGCTGTCCTCTTGCCTTTCCAGCAGGGGCACGGGCGAGGCGTGTCAGAGCTGTGGGTCTGGGTTGGGTTTGTCTGGGGCATCTGCTGGGTGTCAGGAAACCTCAGCGCAGGAAGTTCTCGTTGGGGAAGCAGGAGCCGGTGCGGAGGGTGTGGCGGGTGTGCCGGCTGGAACACGGTGGTAGCAGCCCAGGTGGGGCCTCTGCGCGGCCGCTCCGCCGCAGCCTGGCCCGTGCCCTCCCTTCCAGGGGGACAGCTGCCGGGCTGCGGTCTGAGCTGTCTGAGCTGCGCCCACCAAGAGATGGGCCCAGCATGTGGAGCGAGCAGAGGCTGGGGAGGAGGCCACGTCGGTGCAGGGGCATCCCTCGTTGAGGGTGCCTCCTTACTTCACAGGGGTCCAGTCAGCAGCAGTCAACGTCATCTGTGAGCTGGCCCGACGCAACCCTAAAAACTACCTTTCCCTCGCCCCGCTGTTTTTCAAGTTGATGACCTCTTCAACCAACAACTGGGTCCTCATTAAAATCATCAAACTGGCGAGTATCCGCCCCTGCGCGTGTCATTACAAGGCCTTGGGTCTGGTTGGGGTCTGCCAGGCCTAAAGCATCACAGTGTGTTGGGGTGTGCTTCTCAAGGCCTCGGGCAAGGACCCATTCAGGCCTGTGAGTGACTCCGGCCTTTCCCTCCTAGTTTGGTGCTCTGACCCCCTTGGAACCAAGGTTGGGCAAGAAGCTAATCGAACCTCTCACCAACCTGATCCACAGGTAGACTCTGGGCTTCCTTTCCTCAGGGTGACTGGTATGTGGGAGGGTTGGGCCATGAGAAGTGGACATGCGGCCTCCACATGGGGGATTTTTCACCAAATGGTCTGTGCCTTTGGGGCCAGCGCCCCTAGACACCCCGTGAAAGAGCGCATTGTAGCAATAACCTAAAGGAAGAAGGGTGCCCCAGTTAGCCCTGCCGGCTCACAGCTAGACCTCAGTGATCTGAAGAGCCTCAGGTGACTGTGTCCATTGTCAGTTCTAGGATGTTCTACCCATGCCACTTGGTGCCTGTGGCTAGTGTGTGGGTTGGCACAGGAGATCTTGTGCCGGGAGCTGCAGGAGACAGCTGAGGAGGGGCGGGAGGAACAAGGCCGGGTCGGGTTCTGCTGCCTGCCTCCCTCTGGGATTGTCCCAGGCTCGGAAGTGGGTCAGAAGTGAGGGCGCCATAGCCTAAAACCCGTGTCTGGGCTCGGGCAAGTCTGGTTCTAAGCAATCAGTTGTCTAGTTTGCGGCACGCAATGATGCTGAGTCTGGCTTCACGGGCGAGCAGCTTTCTCACTCGGAGCTCCGGCGACTCTGCCCCGCAGCGGCACTGTGAGGCGGCAGTGGGCGGCACAGCCAGCGCCCACCTGCTTGGCCGCCGCGAGCGGTGCTCATCACACCCCCACGGCGGCACCTGGCCGTGGGCACCATGTTCCGTGTGGCCACAGCCAGCTGTGCCTCGGGCTCCCGGTCTGTGCTCCCGGAAGGGGGCGCCTGGGCGTCCTTCCGGGCCTTGCGGAAGTGGAAGGCCGGGGCGCTGACTCCTGGATGGGAACCTTGCGGGGGGTCTTGCTGTTGGTGCACGGCAGGGGTGCGCCTCTGTTCTTGAGGTGACCCTGGTGAAAACGTGACGCGCAGCCCTCCCTCACACGCCCTTCCTCCTCAGCACATCTGCCATGTCCCTTCTCTACGAGTGTGTGAACACCGTGATCGCAGGTGAGTTCCCGCTTAGGGGTGGGGACTGGCCACCCTGGGCCTTGCCTGAGTGGCACCAGGTCTCCTGGAGTCGGGGTCCTTGCCTCTGCCCCGCCTGGAACCTCCTGTCTAGAGCCCCTTGTGTGCGGGCGCAGCAGTCCTCTGCAGCGGCGCTCCCGCTGGTCCCAGGCTCCGGCACAACCTCTCTGCTTCCAGCCTTTGCACCTCACCTGCCACGAGACCTCCTTTCTTCTAAACAACCTCAGAATACAAACGAAAACAAAGCAAAACTCGGGCGCCCTGTGCCGCCTCCCCTCTAGATACTCAGCGTAGGAATCTGTCACCACCTCTTGAGGGTTTCCTGGCCATCCTGGGCCTCCTTAGAGGCCACTCAAGTGAGGCCACCAGTGGCGTTGATCTGGCTCCCCTGCCACAGCAGCCACCCTGGCGACCATCTCCTGGCTTACTGCCCTGTCACTCTGGGCCTGGGCTTTCTGAAGGCTGTTGGAGCCGGCGGCTCCGGGGCTGCAGCTTCTGGCCACCTGTCCTGCCCGAAGCTCCGCAAGTTAGCCTTGGGGCTCATCCTCGCAGACCTCTGGGCCTCAGCTCTGCGTGGGCTGGGCATGTTCCCGGGACTCGGCGGCAGTGGCTGGGGGAAGAGCAGGCTGCCATCAGGCGTTCAGGCGGGAAGAGGCCGATAGGAGAACGGGCCTGACCATGTGAGAGAGAGCCCTCTCCCTAGCTATGGGTGGAGGAATTGGGGTGACAGAGGGGTAGTCCTGGGTGAAGCATATCTGCGTTGATGTTGCCAAGCACCAGGCAGGTGGTCCCTGAGCCACAGAGACCTGACCGCCCCAGGGAGTGCTCACGTGGGCGCCCCCTGCAGCCCGAGAGCCCAGACTGCAGAGTAGCACTCGACGCTTCACACATTCACACGGACTCTAGGGCCTGGGAGCCCATCTGTGAGGTGGGGGGAGCCCCCGAAGTCCAGTTCCCAGATGCCACCTTCTAAGCTGATGGGCCTAGGAGAGGCGGGGCCCGCTCGGCAGCCCTTTCCTGCGCAGACATCAGGGAGGCAGAGCAGTCCCACCAGGTTCTTTCCAGCTCATGCCCTCCCCACGGGGCCTGAGTGAGGCCCACAGTGGACGGGTCAGGGTGGCGAACCACCAACAGGCTTGTCTGTTTCAGTCCTCATCTCGCTGTCATCCGGCATGCCCAACCACAGTGCCAGCATCCAGGTACGTCCGGCATCAGTCACTTAAGGCTCAGCGGGGCTTGTTCTGCCTTCGGGGTCCCCTTCCTGCAAGCCCCACGCTCCGGTGAGAGCAGCCTGCCCTATGCACAAAGCACAGGTGGGGCGGGCGTGTGAGCGGCCGAAGGGTGGGCACACCCCCCACCAGGGCTGCGGCTGCGGCTACCGCTGCCGCTTGTGGTCCGACGCCAGCTCGGCTCCGCCTCACGCCAGTGTGGGCGCAGAGCCCTGACTTCTTTGCGGCCTTTCCGGCGCCTGTTCCGCATCCCCGGTCCGCATCCCCGGTCCCCGAGGGTCCCATCGGTCTGGATGGCCTCCCTCCCTGAACCCCATAAACGCCCATCCTTTAGCACAGAGCGCCAGGGGTCCCTGGAGTGGGCTGAGGACCACTGGGAGAACTACCTGTCGAGGTTCAGGCTTATTGATCTGATCACGTAGCGTGAAGCTCAGCCCCTGGGTCCCAGTCTTCCCTGGCGCCACCTTCAGCCATCCTGTTCCAGGGTCATCTTTCAGCAACCTGCAAGCCACCAGCTTGTGCACTAGAGTTTCTGGGACAACCATGTGCGTGGGCGCTGTCCTGCACATGGCCCTCCAGCCCTCCCCTGGGCCCGGCGGGCTCCCCCTTGCAGACCTCAATGTCCTCCCCACCTTCTGCCCTGGGCCCGCAGGGCTCAGGCCAGACACTCTGCCTCCTCTTTGCAGCTTTGTGTTCAGAAGTTAAGGATATTGATAGAAGACTCCGATCAGAACTGTGAGTGGCCCCGCCCCCACACCTGAGCTTCTGTGGGGGGCAGGCTCCCCAGCAGAGGCAGACCTTGGGGTAGCGCCCGTCCGCAGAGACCACGTCAGCAGGCCGGCGCGGCATCAGCCATGCTGAGAGCGCAGCCTCTGTCCGCGCGGTGCTGCCCCTGCGCCGCTCCGTCTGCTGAGGTGGCGGGACCTGCAAGAGGCCCCTCTGAGGCCGGCCCCGGGGGAGCCACGGGCGGGGAGCGCAGTGGTGCACACATCGTGGCCTTGCGACTGTGCCCCAGTGTGTCTCGAGATGTGTCCTCTGAAGCTGCCACTTTGCACAGGATTCGTGGGTGGGCTTGGGGTTGACCCGATGGGCAGATCAGGGTGTCCTCCCTGGGGAATGCACCTTGCTGTGTGCCCGGCTTCTTCCTTTTTAGGTAGGTTGGCGAGGGTTTCTACCAGTACCACCACTGGTGCCTGGGCTAAGGAAGACCCTGAGGCCTCGGGGGTCACTTTGAGCCTGGTGGTGTCTCTAGAGCAGAGCCGGCGGGCTGGCGAACCTGGAGAGGGTCAGCCAGTAACGGTCTCCAGTTTGGGGGCCTCTTGGCTCCTGCTGTTGAAGAGATAAAGCCCCCACAGGGCATGCCACGTGCCAGAAACCCTCATTCAGAAACAGGCTTCACCTGGATGGGGCCTGTGGCCATAGTTACCGCCTTGAGCCGAGACGGGTGTTGGCCAGTCAGGGCAGATGGGCATCTGGGATGCAGGAAGTCTCCTCCTGGCCTGGGGCTTCGCCAGCACTTGCTCTGCTGTCCAAGACCTTGGGCCAACCGAGGGTACTTACCCATGGCCCGGTTTGTCCAGACCGACAGGGCAGCCAGAGTCCCCCTTATGGGACAGCCCGAAAAAGGGAAGGTGGCAGGTACATGGCGAGATGGGGGTCTGCACTGCCCACCAGCCCGAGGCCTTGTCTAAACCATGTCTCCCGCCCCACAGTGAAGTACTTGGGTCTGTTGGCCATGTCCAAGATCCTGAGGACGCACCCCAAGTCCGTGCAGGCCCACAAGGATCTGGTCCTGCAGTGTCTGGATGACAAGGATGAGTCCATCCGCCTGAGGGCCCTCGACCTCCTGTATGGGATGGTGAGTGCCTCTCCCAACCCTCCTTCACCAGCCCCCTGCTGGTTGGGAGGCCTCCTTCCTCACCAGCGCCCCCTCCAGGTGTCCAAGAAGAACCTGATGGAGATTGTCAAAAAGCTGATGACCCACGTGGATAAGGCTGAGGGCACCACGTACCGAGATGAGCTGCTCACCAAGATCATCGACATCTGCAGCCAGTCCAACTACCAGCACATCACCAACTTCGAGTGGTGCGTCCCTGCGGCTGGGGTGCCCAGCTGTGCCCGGGCACAGCTCAACACCCCCACCGCTCCTGCAGGTACATCAGTATCCTTGTGGAGCTGACCCGGCTGGAGGGCACCCGCCACGGCCACCTCATCGCCGCTCAGATGCTAGACGTGGCCATCCGCGTGAAGGCCATCCGCAGGTTCGCCGTGTCACAGATGTCCGCGCTGCTCGACAGCGCTCACCTGGTGACCAGCAACACCCAGCGCAACGGCATCTGCGAAGTGCTGTACGCCGCCGCCTGGATCTGTGGCGAGTTCTCAGAGTGAGTGGGCGCCCGGGTCCTGGGGTGGGCCCTGCTCCCTGGAGGTCCCCCTCTCAGCCTCAGTCTTGTGGGGATGCCGAGTGCCCTGCACTTTCTGGTGGGAGGAAGACCTCCTTGACCTGACACTGTACCAGTGCGCACCTGCAGCCAGCAGCAGTGCTCCCTGGGAGGCAGTCCTCTCGGACGCTGGCCTCTCGCAGGTCCTCCCAGCGCCCCCTCCCCGGAGGTGCAGGCTTCCCCGTCCTCGGCCTTCCTTCAGCTGCTCTAACGCAACCCGTAGCAGAGCGAGGCGGGGCTGGGTGGGTGGCAGCAAGCTCACAGGCCTCTGCTGTCCCCAGGCACCTGGAGGAGCCCCACCAGACCCTCGAGGCCATGCTGCGACCCAAGGTCACCACTCTGCCTGGCCACATCCAGGCTGTGTATGTGCAGAATGTGGTCAAGCTGTACGCGTCCATCCTGCAGCAGAAGGAGCAGGCTGCCGAGGTGGACGCGGCCCAGGAGGTCACCCAGCTCATGGTGGAGCGGCTGCCCCAGTTCGTGCAGAGCGCAGACCTGGAGGTCCAGGAGCGGGTGAGGGCCGCCTGGGCCTCCACCCCAGGTCGGGCTGAGGGCTGGCGCACGGCTGCTGAAGGTGCCACATTCCGTGTCTGTCCTCCCTGTGGCAGCCAGCCTCTGCTCTAAAATGCCTTTTGTGGCCTCACTCCTGGTGAGGCGGCCCTGGGAGTCACCCACGGTTGGACGCAGCGGGGGGTGCCCCAGACCAGGCGGGCCATGGAAGGCAGTTAGAGGAGCAGGATGGGGCAGTCGGCCTGAGGGAGAGGCATTGCGGGTGCCACTGGGCCCTGGGAGCCTGCTCTTGCTCTGGAGCATCCAGCTTGACGTGCGTGCTGTGACTTCTGCGGAGCAAAAGCTTGGGGCATCTCAGCTGTGCAGGCATCTCAGGTGCTGGGGTTGTTACCACACAGACGCCAGCACTCGCCCTACGCCTGAGATCGCAAGGGGCCGTTGTGGTGACCTGTCCCCGCAGCGGCAGTGTTGGGACAGCCTGCCTCCGCTCTGGAGGCCGCTCTGACTGTCCTCTCAGGTCCCACCTCCCCCTCACCTCTGGCCCTCCATAGGCGTCCTGCATCCTGCAGTTGGTCAAACACATCCAGAAGCTGCAGGCAAAGGAGGTGCCCGTGGCGGAGGAAGTCAGCGCCCTGTTTGCTGGGGAGCTGAACCCAGTGGCTCCCAAGGCACAGAAGAAAGTTCCAATTCCCGAAGGGTGAGACCCGAGACAGACCGGTCAGGGGGTGCAGGTAGTTGGACAGGACACGACAGCCGCGGCTGCCCAGTACCGTGTCCTGGCCCTAAAGGGACAGGGGTGCGCTGAACCCGCTGTTGAGCAGAAGAGGGGCAGGAGGAATAGCCAGTGGCCACTGTCTGACCCTCCGTCAGGTCTGACACCCTGGGACACTCTCAGGTCCTGGTGCCACCCTCTGGCAGTGGCCCGAGCGGGGGAAGGGACGTGAGCTTGCTGGGGGTCCCAGCGTGCGGGTGGGGCTCGAACCAAACCCCGGGTGCCCAGGCTCTGCCTCACTGCTGAGGTTGTGCGGTGGCCAGAGCCACCTCGGGACCACACTGTGTTCTGCAGCCTGGACCTGGATGCCTGGATCAACGAGCCGCCCTCGGACAGTGAGTCTGAGGACGAGAAGCCCAAGGCCATCTTCCACGAGGAGGAGCAGCGACATGCCAAGCAGCAGCCGCCTGAGGTGGACGAGGAAGAGCTGGCCCGGGTGAGCGGCTGGGGTGTGGGGCCTTCTTCCAGCGCGCAGGGTTCGGACATCCAGGACCACGAGACAGGCATCTGCCAGCCCCCCACCCACTGCTTACCACCTCCCTCCCGCCTGCCCTCTGAGGGGGGAAAGGAACGGTGTCTCCCAGAGCCCCCTTGGGCCCGTGGACTGAGCCTTCGGGCATCGTGGTCTGGCCTGGGAGCCTGAGCTTGTCTCAGCTCTGCCCCAGGAGCTGGGCAGCCCTGGGAGCCTCCAGCCTGAAACGCAGGCGCTCACCCCTTCTGGGGGTTAACCCTGGCTCTGCGGTGACACCGCCTCACGTCCCCTCCCCTCTCGTCAGTCACCATCTCCTGTGGGTCACGGCTGAGGCCTTGCCTGTGGCCCAGTCTCCACCCCCACGTCCAGGCGCTCGCTGACATGCATGTCCGCCTGTCCCCGCAGCGTCGAGAGGCCCGGAAGCAGGAGCAGGCCAACAACCCATTTTACATCAAAAGTTCCCCATCCCCCCAAAAGGTAAGGCCAGTCCCAAGACACTCTCGAGGGGCGTCCCCCCGGGCTCTGCAGCATGGACAAGGGGTCACTACTCGGGCAGCCCCGTGTGTGGTACAGTGAGTCCTGGGACACGAGATGGAGATGAGGAGGAAGCACTGAGTTCCGCTGACCCACTGGACAGGCTATGGGCAGCGCGGACGTGATAACTGCTCACTGCGGCTGGTAGTGCGATCCCCGCACAGGCCACGGCCGCTCTCCTCATCGTAAGACCCTTCCAGGTCCACTCCTGTAGCGCAGGTGTGAGCAGGGATCGTCCCTCACTGGCCCTGGGGCTCCAGCTGTGCCATGGGTGCAGTGCGGTCTCCCCGGGCTGCAAGCCTGCACCCCCAGACAACAAGGTTCAGATGGGAGAAAGCGACGGCGCGTGGCCTCGGCCTGCAGCTGCCCTCGTGCGCGGGCGCCCTGTGGCTGTGGGCCGCACTCCGGACTTGCCCTGCCGTGTCCTTGCCTAGCGGTGCCTTGAAACTTGTTCTGCAGAGGTACCAGGACATGCCAGGCGTGGAGCACATACCTGTGGTGCGAATCGACCTCTCGGTGCCCCTGAAAGTACCAGGCAAGCTTGTGCATGGCATGCAGACCCAGGGAGCCCCGTAGTTCAGGTCCAGAGGCGCCCGAGCCAGCCTCAGCTCAGGCTGTTGAGAGCACCTCCCTGCACCCATCCTGCCTCCTCGTGCGGGTGAGCCCCGACGTGGCTGTGGACAGAACCGGCGGGCAGCGGCTCCAGCCGGCCCGTGCCTGTTCTCTCTTCTCACCCCAGCCTCCTGCCCAGCTGCCCCTTGGCATTCGGTGGGTGGGGCCTGCTGTCCCCTTGCCCCTCTAGTGCAGCTGTCAGGGGGTGCAGCAGAGGGCCCGTCTGAGTGCTGCCCGCCTGCAGGCATGCCCATGTCCGACCAGTACGTGAAACTGGAGGAGGAGCGGCGGCATCGGCAGCGCTTGGAAAAGGACAAGAAGAGGAAGAAGAAGAAGGACAAGGAGAAGCGGGGCAAGGCGCGGCGCCACAGCTCGCTGCACACAGAGAGTGATGAGGACATCGCTCCAGCCCAGCGGGTGGACATTGTCACGGAGGAGATGCCCGAGGTCAGCGCACGGCCCCTGTGCGGGCCCGGGTAGGCCCTTCCTGGGCCCAGCTCTGCTTGAGGCAGCCTGCTCACGCCCGCCACAGCCAGAGGCCCTGAGCGCTGCCCTGTGCCGTGCCCGGATGAGGGGACGGGACGGGATCGAGACCTATAGTGGGTGCCCCTCTCCCTGGCTCCCGTCCTGATTCCAATCCTTGCTGCCCACTCGAGGGCCCGTTTGGGCAGTTGGGAAGCTGGGCCTCGGGCAGGAGGCAGGTCCGGGCTGGCTGAGCTGGAGCCGGGCTTCCTTTCCTCCCCCAGAACGCTCTGCCCAGTGACGAGGACGACAAAGATGTCAATGACCCCTACAGGGCTCTGGACATTGACTTGGATAAGTAAGTGTGGGGCCAGATGAGAGCCTGGGCTCGGGGGTCCCTGGGCTGGGTGTGGGCCGGAAACCTGCCAGGAGGCTCTGAGAAGGGGAGACCCCAACTGGGCCTTGCTGAGCTGGGGACAGGCAAGCAAGGCCAGTCCAGCCACATCGCCCACGGGGTGACTCCTTGGTCGGGGGTGGCCTGTCACCTCTAGTCACTTGCTGTCCTGAAGGCGACGCATTCGGGCACTGCTCGTGCTTAAAGCACTCCCCCCCCGGTGCCGTGGGCGCACAGGGCAGCCCTGATCTCCATACCTCTGGGCACCTTGGACAGGAAGGCAGAGCCCAGAGCCCCTTGGCTCATCCATGAGCCTGACGCGGTCACCTGGGCGACCTCTTCTCTGCCTGTGGCCCCGCCTGTCCTGAATGACTACTCTCTGGGTTTGAAGAAGGCCACACAGGGACCCAGGCCCCAGTCTTTCTGGGGATCCACACGTACCCTTGTGCTGATACCAAATCCTGGTGAAGCCAGCCCCCAGGGCCACCGCCTGCCCCAAGTCCTGCTGCTGCCCTCTCACTGGCTCCACCAGCCGTTCCTGCCATGCCCCTCCTGACCTGGCCTCTCCACCACAGGCCCCTAGCCGACAGTGAGAAGCTGCCCATCCAGAAACACCGCAATGCTGAGACGTCCAAATCCCCTGAGAAGGATGCTGTCCCTGTTGTGGAAAAGAAGAGCAAGAAACCCAAGAAGAAGGAGAAGAAGCATAAAGAAAAGGAACGGGAGAAGAAGCGGGAGAGCGAGAAGAAGGTAGCAAGCTGCGGCTCTTGTTCCTGTCCCCAGCCGGGGGGCTCGCGTGGGGCAGAGGGTGGGCTTGAGCTCCAGGCCCGACTGATGTAGCAGGCGGGGTCCTGCAGGCGGCTCGCCGAGGCTCCCCGCACTCGTCCACCCACGTTGGGCCTCCATGGCAGTGGCCAGCCAGCTCGTCGTCCCTGGTGAACGTCACTGCTGGGAACATTGTGTGGTGCGCAGGGACCTGTTGTGGGGCCGAGCCGTGCCAGCCTCCCCGCAGGCAGCGCCAGCGCCCACACAGCTTGGCCATGGGGCCCTGTACCTGCTGGGGCTGCTTTGGCCATGCGCTTGGCTTTCTGTGGTTTCAGGCTGAGGACCTGGACTTCTGGCTGTCCACCACACCGCCACCTGCTGCTGCCCCAGCCCCAACTGTGGTAAGAGCAGGGGCAGCCTGGCCAGCCCACTTGGGGTTGGGTGTGGGGCCTGTGCACCCTCGGCAGATCTGCCCTGTTCTGAGGTATCCGGGGCCTGTTCTTGGCACTGCCTCTCCCTGGGGCTGCAGAGATGCCAGCGCACTCCGGGGGCCCAGGTCTGGACCTGGTTGTTCTGTCCCGAGGCCTCCCCCGGCAGTGGCTTCAAGAATGGAAACGCTGGGCAGCCAGCACAGGTCCCCGACCCCGCAGTTGTGCAGCAGACTTGAGAGGGCCCTTTAGTTAGTAGGTGGGGCCCAGCGGCTCATGGTGAGCCCGCCAACCCCGACCGGGCATCCGCTCCCCTCTGCCGGCCACTTAATTTCCTGGTCAACCCCTGCCTGCTCCCGGGCCCAGGGCAGCGCCTAGCACAGGGGCACTTGCAGGTGCAAGGACGGAGGCCACGCACCCGGGCCTGGCTGCCTCCGCTAGCCCCCTCCACCTGGTTCCCTGCAGGAAGAGCCCGAGGGGAACAGCGCCTTTGTCCCTGCAAAGGAAGGACACAAGGGACCCAGCAAAGAGCAGCAGTACGAGGAGGAGGAGGAGGACGACGATGACCCCGACAAGGTGAGGGTGCTCGCATGGCATGCTGTGGGGAGCCAGACACCAGCCCTGGGCCACCATGGTTTCCTGATGGCGTCTCCCCGTTGCCAAGGTTACATTGTTTCCACGACAGCTTTACAAGCTGCACCTCTCCTGTCTAGAGCTCACCTTTAAAAGCACGCAGGCCAGTGTTTTTACTACACTTTCAGCGTTCTCTACCAGTACCATCTAGTTCCCTAAAATTCATCACCCCAAAAGGAAACACGCCTCTACCAGCAGTCAGCCCCAGCCCCTGGCACCACAAACCCACTCACTGTGGTTGTGCCTACGCTGGATGTTGCTCGCCACTCAGCCACGTGGCCCGTGTGTCTGGCTTCTCTCCCGAGCACTGTGTGTTCGGGTTCCACCCTGTGGTGGCGAGGGTCAGAGCTGCCCCCCTCGTGCCAGTGCTGGTCCGTGGGGAGGCACCGTGTGGCTGGCTGCGCTCCGGCTGATGGACACCTGCGTTGTTTGCCCTCTTTGGCCATTGTGAGTTGTGTGCTGCAGACACGCATCCTGTGTGCAGAGTGGAGGTGTTGCGTCTGGGGTCACACCTCGTGTTTCCTGCTTGTCGGGCGGCATGTCTGAGCCCTGAGTAGTGCACCCTGCGCCTTGCCTGGATGCTCTTCTGCCGATGGCTTCCTGGGGTTTTCCGGGTCCTATCTGCCAGCCCCACCCTGTCCTGTCTCAGAAATCTAAGCATAAGAAGAAGAAGCACAAGAAGAAGGAAGAGCGATCCAAGGACAAGAAGAAATCCAAGAAAAAAAAGCCTCTGAGTGATGACGCTCCGGGGCCTGTGGAGAATGGTGCGGTGGAGGAGGAGCCGCTCCCGGTGAGGAGCCTTCGCCTCAGGAGACCCCTGCCCGGGCGGGCGGGGGGGCGGCCAGCTGTCCAGGCTGGGGCGCGTGTCCGTGTCAGTCACCTGTGGGGTGCCGTCCCAAGTCACGTGGGACTGATTCGTCCCCCACAGCAGTTGGTGACTCAGCTGAACTGTCTCCTTTGTCCCCAGCCCATGTCCAGCTACTGCCTCCTGGCCGAAAATTCTTACATTAAGATGGTGAGCACTGTGAGCAAGTTGGGGCAGACTGGGGTGCGGGCCTCCCCCTGCGCTGAGGAGGGGGAGACGCCCCAGCAGAGGCCTCTGGGGAAACACCCCACAGCGGCCGTGCTTTCTGCCCTGTGCAGTGGCAGGCCTGGGCTGATGTGGCGGTGGACGTGGTTTTCAGAGGCCAGGACGGTGTGAGGCCCAGACAGGCTGGTTCTGGTGGGAGGCCGTGGAGATTTGTGCTCTCTCTGCCCTTCGCTTTGCCCACAGGGGTCACGTAGCCCCGCTGCCGCTCTGACCCGCTTGCTCTGTGCAGACATATGACGTGCAGGGCAGCCTGCAGAAGGACAGTCAGGTGACCGTGTCTGTGGTCCTGGAGAACCGGAGCGACAGCTTCCTGAGGAACATGGAGCTCAGTGTTCTGGACTCCCTCAACGCCAAGCTGGCCCGGCCGGAGGGCGCCTCCGTGCACGACGGCATCCCTGTGCCTTTCCAGCTGCCCCCAGGTGAGGCCGGCCTGGGCTTCCCGGGTCCCTGTCCACTATGTTTCCGCCCCTGGGCCCCGGGCTGATGGGCTTCTTCCCACCCCACAGGCATCTCCAACGAAGCCCAGCTTGTGTTCACCGTTCAGAGCATCGTCATGGCCCAGAAACTCAAGGGGACCCTGTCCTTCATCGCCAAGGTACACGGGCTTGCAGAACCCCTGTGTCTGCACGGCAGGCAGGGGTCCCGGGCCCCAGTTGTGTCCTGAGGGCCAGCGGGGCCCCGGGCAGGCTCACTCCCGCTTCTTCTTGCCCTGCTCCCTGCAGAACGATGAGGGCTCCACCCACGAGAAGCTCGACTTCACGCTGCTCTTCCGCTGCACCTCGTACATGGTCACCACGCCGTGCTACAGGTGTGTGCGCCACCTGCCCTCCTGCCTGCACGTCCTCACTCTGTGGGCCTCTTAACTCAGTGCCCGTGGACCTGAGGTGAAGGGGCAGACGGAGTGTCGTGTCACCGGCCCTAGTTAGTGCACGAGGTCCGAGCCGCCCGGGACGTTGGCCAGCCCAGGGTGTTTGCGGACTCACAGGCCAAATGCACATCCACCTTTCCGGTGCCAGAGACTGCAGAGGGGTGCGGGCAGGGCTGCTCAGTCCCGAGGCCTCTCCCTGGCGCCTCGACGGCCATCTGCTCCGTGTGCCCTTAGGCCACCTCACCCCCTGTGCATGTCCGAGTCCGCATCTGTGCCTCTTGCCAGGACACCGTGCAGCTTGGAGAAAGCCGCCCCGCCCCCCTCACCTGAATCACCTCTCGGAGGCCCCACTGCCATAGATCCTTAGGTCCTGGAAGCATTAGGGCTTCAACCGAAGGGCGTGGGGGGCATCTTCTAAGATGCGTGGCACCTGCCCACGCTCGGGAGAACGCTACCCGGCAGCAGGGTCCCTGCCTGGCGTCAACTCTGCCTTTCCACAGCGATGCCTTCGCCAAGTTGCTGGAGTCTGGAGACCTGAGTATGAGCTCCGTCAAAGTTGATGGCATCACCATGTCCTTCCACAACCTCCTGGCAAAGATCTGTTTTCACCACCATTTTTCCGGTAAGGGGTTTCCTGTGACAGATGGATCACAGCCTTTCCCTGCGAGTGACTCTCCCCTGCTGCCCAGGGGAGCAGCGCAGGCCTTGCCCGCCTGCTCTGCCCGTCCCCGGTGTGGGCCCTTACCCCTGCTCCGTTACAGTTGTAGAGCGGGTGGACTCCTGCGCCTCCATGTACAGCCGCTCCATCCAGGGCCACCATGTCTGCCTCCTGGTGAAGAAGGTGAGCCGCCCCACGCCCCCCAGCACAGCACGGCCGTGCCAGCGCCCTCAGGCCTCTGAGCTGCTAGTCCCCACTGCCGGGGCCCGAGGGGGGAGCGAGCTGCCCTCTGCATGCGGCGCAGCCCCTGGCGGGCGGGAGCAGCCCCGGAAGTGCCTGTTGTTGCTCCCTCTCAGGGCGAGAAGTCCGTGTCCGTGGACGGGAAGTGCAGCGACTCCACGCTGCTGAGCAACCTGCTGGAGGAGATGAAAGCGACGCTGGCCCAGTGCTGAGCGCGGCCCCGACCGCGCCGCAGCCCCGCCGGAAGGTGGCTTCCGTGTGTGCGGTTCCTGTCGCATGTGCTGTGCCAGCCGTGCGTTAAGCCCACTGTCGTCCCCAGCAGACGTTCAGGTTACGTGTTTCCTTGATCGCTGTCATCTTTCTCACTTTGACTCTTCCCACTCTTTGGCAAGAAGCCCTGTTCGGTCCCCCAGTCCACGGGCTCCTGTAGCCAGGGCGGACTGCTCCCGGCGTGGGGGGCCGCCACCCCGGCCAGCTCCTGGGGGCCTAGGGTAGGTGCTTCAGTGGGTAGGACAGGCTCCCCACACATTTGCTTCTGTGAAGTTGTCCAGGTCCCACAGTCCCCCCACATAGCCTGCCCGGCAGCATAAGGGGGGTGAAGAGGGACTGGAAGTCACCTCGCAGCTGCAGGTCGGTCTTGGTGTCCCCAGGAGTTTGGTGGGAAACAGCAGGCTATCGTCCATCGTGCTCTCCACCTCACCCCTCATGTTCGTCTGCCACGGAAGGATCTCAGTGGATGCCCGGCGGGTGTCGCCGCGGGGAGGGAATCCACAGACCCCCGTCAGAGCTGACCTCATTGGTTTTTGTTGTCCTCATTCATAGTGTGTTTGTCTGTCCGTGTTGTTGGGGTGCGTGCCAGAGTGCTTGGGCTCCCCGTCTCCTTTGGTAACAGAACACTCCACAGGGCTGTCCTCGCATTGCGCCACAGCAGCCGGAGGGCCCTGCCCGGCCCACGTCCTCCCGGTGAGGCACGTGTGTCCACGGCAGCCTGGCCAATGTGCGCCTCATGGGCTGGCGGGGGGTGGTGGTTGGGGGGCCCCAAGCGGCCCGGCCTTCCCCACCCGTGAGACAGAACCTTCCTCAGATGATGGTCCTCAATGACGTTTTAGCTTTTTCCTTTTGATGAAAACTGTCACTTTAGCATGTAATCTATTACAGAATCCTGTGCAGTGATTCTAGAGTATCAAAATTGTATGATGTGTTATATAAGAATTTGCTATCAACATTCCTGTATAAAGGAGAGAGATATCACGTTCTGTCATGATTTTGTGTCCAGATGAGCCAATAAACTTGCAAAAACAGACGGTGATCCCCGGTTGGGTCTGCTGCCCGCGCCACTGTGCTCCCCTGCCAGGGTGTCTTCACGCTGCAGCCGGGGGGTCACGCAGTCCCCGAGCTGCTCTCGACAAGGGCTGCGCAGTGCCCTCAGGAATGTCAGGGCACAGCGGGAACACCCTGTCCATGTGCCTCGTCTCCTGGGGGGGTAGGATTCCCACACCCCACCCCAAGTTCCTGGGCTCAGGTGGAGTGGACAGAGGGCCAGCCCGCCTGACCCGTGGGGCTTCTCGGGTTCCACTACCAGCTCCCCTCCTTTCCCTGGGAACCCCACTGGTGTGGGGTATGCTGGGTGGGCGGCAGGAACAGGCCCCAGAGGCAGGCCCTCCTTGTAGTTTTATTTGCTTCATTTCCCCTGCTTTGCGTGGTGTGGACAAGATGACTTAAGAGACTGGGTCAGCAGGCTGATCTGAGAAGAGTCAGGCTGGGCCAGCAGATGGAGTCTTGAGTCGGCTCTAACTAGGATCCCAGAACGCGGGAAGAGAGGAAGGGAACGAGAGCTGTGCCCCCACGCTGAACCACCAAGCGCTGGCTCTCCAGGCGTCCCTTCAGAAGAGACACCACCTGGGCCCCGTTCCTCCTGGAAACCATTCTGTCTGAAGACGCCCGCCAGGAGACCCAGGGCCCCTCTGTGTGCCCCCTGCTCCACGGGGCAGCCAGTGCATCCTGTGACAGCCAGGCCCCTTGCCTGGCCCTCAGTGAAGACGAAGAAACCAACTGTTAAGAGCTCGAAACAGCATCAGTTTGTGCCTCATGCTGGCAACCACAGGACTGCCGTCTGACTGCCACCACCCGCTGCCCCAGGGCAGGTCCTGTGCGGTATGTTCATGACGCTCCCTGGGTCTACAGCATCTATGTCTGCTGTTAAGCCACACAGACCTAGATAGTTTCTCTGAAGCCAGGAACCAGAACCTCAGAGGAACACTGCGTTCAGGCTTAGAGAACAGCCCTAGAGGGAGACAGAATGGGGTCCAGCAGTGCCCAGGCCAGAGGGAGTGTTCATTCGCCTCTGGCTACACTCCAACTGCCAAGTCTGTCTGCGGAACACCCATTCAGCCCTGGTCAGCCAGTTTGAAGCCGGCATCTTAGGCCGTCAGATGTATTCGGATAGGCGGTGCAGTGCAGACCATCCCTATGTCCCTCTGGCTGAGACTCACCCCTAGGACTGAACCCCAAATTGTACTATGGCTGGCCATGGTTTTCCCCAAACCCCAGTCTCCTTTTGGAGCCATCCAGAAAGCCAGTTTATGCCCATGCTTGTTTCTCGGTTTGCCTAGGCCCTTCATCCTGCCCCTCCAGCCCCAACAAGTTTCTCCTTGCTCCAAGGACTGCTCGGTGATGAGAAATGTCAGAGACATTTAATCGTTCCATTAAATAGCTCTGTCAATTATTCCCCAGCGTCGGTATGTACAAATCCTCCTCCCTGCCCTGCCCACCAGCACTCATGAAGTTTTGGGGGACCCAAAGTAGCTGTGGGCTTGTTTGGCTGGTCAGTCCTAGGGCGTCCTCGCCCTAAATCTGTGGCCATCAGTGCTGCATCAGGCACTCGGAGGCATTTTCCAGAGTCAGATTGGCCAGGTGTGGGGGTTCTAGACACGTGAATCTTGGTGATATCAGGCTGCGGGAGACACAGGGTACCCTCAGTTCCGTCCACCCCCAGCCCTCTTCCCTCCCCCGGTGGGCTGGGCTGGTATCTGGCTGCTTTCCAGCTGGGATGTGACGGCTGCAGGCTGGTCTCAGAAGCCAAGCCCAGAGCCCTGCATGTCTGTCCCTAAGTGTTGCACAGGTCACAGCACCACCCCATCACTGGGCCGCCAGAGCATGGAGGCCTGGGCCAGGCGCCACTGGGTTTTAATGCCTGACTTAGGTGACCCCGCCACCAGAGCCCAGCTGGGTCCCCCCAGCCACTGTCCTCTGGGTCACTCACAAGGCTGGGGTGGTTCTGCATCCAGGTGGGAGGAGCTCGTGTTTATTGGTGAGTGATGGGAGTAGTTGCAGAAGTGACGCCCGCGTGTCCAGCATGTCCCGGGCACAGGAGAGCCCTGCCCTGCTGTGCCCACCTCGCCCAGCACCCCCACTCACCCCCAGCTACAGGACCGCCCAACACCCTCACCTCACCCCCTGAAGGCTGGCCAGGGCTTTTCAGAGAGGCAGCCTTACCTTGTGTTGGTGTCCTCTCTGAAAGACACCATGGGCCCTAGTTAGCCACGAGCTTTGAGGTCAGTCATGCCTGTGGCCCCAGCCCCCTCCACTTGGGCAAGTGACCATCCTGGGGGTCCTCCCCAGCCCTGACCACCTACTGGGGCAGGGGTTGGACCAAACTGGGGACACTTTAACTAGGATGCTCTGACCCCAGACCCTCAAGGACACGAGACAGGCCCCGAGCACAGCCAAGCCCTGCTTCCTGCGGGCGCCCCTACCACATACTTACCTTGAGGTCGTGCACACGCACAAGCACGCACACATGGCATCTGGTAAAACTGCGTTGGGTTTGGGGGAGGGAACTTACTTGTGCCACTTATTTCTACAATGACAGCGACAAGAGGTTTGGAGTTGGGCCACGCGGTCGCAGTCCAGGCCCCTCCCTGAGCCCAGCTGGCTGACTCACATGTAAAGAAGAAGGCCTTGCACAGCGGTTTCCCACTGAGATGAAGACCTGCCGGGACAGGGTGTATGTGTTGGGGGGAAGCGGCCCCGGTTTAGGGGGCCTGGTCAGGGGGTGGGCAGGAAGGAGTGAGAAGAGGACCCTCCGAGAAGAGCAGGGCCCTCAGCCCAGGTGGACGCCGCGCCTGAGCCCTACTCGCAGTTGTAGCCAAAGCAGACGACGTGCGAGTCCGTGCAGTTGTTGCAGGAGATGGTCTCATACTGGAAGATGCCTGCAACACACCAGAGGTGGCCGCGGCTCCACTCGGCTTCCAGCCGCGCTGCCGAGACCGCAGCTGGAGCGCGGCCGACTCACCACAGTGACGCTGACAGTCGATGCGGCCTGTGCGGGGACAGGGGCGTGGGTGGCGCCTCCCCAGCGGACCCAGCCTGTCCCGGGGCTTCCGCCTACCTTCCCGGGCCCTGCCCACTTGTCCTCGCATGGAGCAGGACACTGAGCGCGCCTCCGCAGACCAGGAGGAACGGTGGCCGCAGGCACTGGATCTAAGACCCGCGGGGCTGCGCGGTGGCAGGTGCCCACCCCAACCTTGCCCACCCCTTGCCTGCGCGCCCCCCCTCCCGCTCACTTTCGATGATGGCGTTCTGAATGAGGTGCACCTGCTCCCGGAAGATGGCTCGAAGTTCGTTGGGGAAATACCCTGGCGGGTGAAGGCAAGAGGCGCTCACCCTTGGGCGGATGGGCGGGCGGGAACCAGACTCCCGCAGCGCGGCCGCGCCTTACCCGGGAAATACATCTTCCCCTGGTACAGCTGATCCATCCTCTGGTACACGGCGTTGGCCACTTGGTCCAGCTTCTCCCGGGCTGGGGGGAGGGGGAGGCCGTGAGCGGCCGGGGCCTGGGTGGGGTCGAGCCGGGTGGGTCGCGCCGCTGGGCCCGACTCACTGATCTCCGCAGGGATGGCCAGGTGCAGCTCCTTCATGGTGTCCTGGCTCCACTCGGTGAGCAGAGAGCCCGACACGGGGATATCGCCCACCCACCAGGACTTGAGATTCACGTGGTGGCGGTAAAAGGAGAATTTGTCGGAGAAATTGCCGTGGCAGTGCAGGCAGCCGCGGGCCATCGCCGCGGTCAGGCCCAGGCACAGTAGCAGGGCCATGGCCCGCCCCCGCCCGCCGCCGGCCAACCGACGGCGCCTCCCGCGCCACGCCCCTCGGCCGCGCACCAACCAACGGCGGCCCGCGCCACGCCCCTCCGCCACGCACCTACCAACGGCGCCCTCCTGGGGTCCCTTGCGGCGCTCCCGCTCCGCCCCCGGATCACGCCCCGCCTCCTCAACGGACGATGGGCGGTGCCAGCTCTACTGCCAGCCCCGGATTGGCCCCGCCCCCGGAATGCGCGGAAAACATTTGCCCACCGCGGGCTCAAGCTCCTCCTGCAGGCCGGCCCCCGCTCAAAAGCCCCGCCTTGCTTCTTCAGGCTGGGGCAAGCTCCGCCCACTGAGGGCGGGAGTCGCTAGAACCACCGAATAGCATCAGGGCCCGCCCCCGGTTGCCAGGCAACCAGAAGCTCGGTGGCTAGGCCTGTTCCGCTGGTTGGTCCCGGCGCTCTGAGGGCTGCTTCCTGGGAGGCCCCCGCAGGCGGCGGAAGAAGGTCCGGCCGGGAGGGCGGGGCCGGGCGGGGCC